AACGTCTTTTCCGCATAGCTTCACATTTATTCTAGCAACATCATTATAATACTAAATCAACATAAATTAATCACTGCAAAAATGTGACCCTTTAAAGTTTTGCGCTGGTTTGCATACCGGGTTGTAGCTCAGGTCCATGGGCCCTTTTTTCTACACTTTAAGGTTTTTCTTAAATGTGCAAGAATGTGAGTTCTGCAAAAAGATTTAAAGACTTTCAAACAAAGCGCATCAAAAATATTCAAAATATTGGAATGTTTTTTTTTTAAATGACTTTCTTGTACCTTTTCCTGCAAAATGATCCATTTTTTTATACCGCGTATCTCTCAAAATGCCAATTTTTTGCACAAAGTCTGAGATGAAATGCATTTATTTATAGAAAACTTTGGTCAGTATACAAACAAACTGCAAATTGGTTTCATTGAAACGTGTAAGCCCACTTCCTAAAATGTCACTGTGTTAACAAATCCAACATGTGCCTGCATAACGGCCATGTTTTACTATCCCTGGTTTATATACATACCATTCACGTGGTGTATTTTTTTGTGGAAGCAAGTTATTTTAATCTTCACATCCATTTCCTGACAAAATGAAGAAGACAAAAGGCAGCTATGACAATTCACAGCATTGAAGGAGTATGCAAAGAGTATAAATTTATATTTTATTGCTTTGTAAGTGCAACATATTAAACGCTCTCCACAATTAATAGATTTACATTCAAAAGGTAGAACATTAAGCTGCAAAAAAACACATCTACAATATATCCATTTTTAGGTGTGGACTCATTAGGAAGAAATGTCATAGGATTCTATGTTTGGCCATAAACAAAAAAGAAAAAAAAAATCTTAGAAATCATTAAAATCTTACAAGTAACTATTTCTTGGTGCAAAATGAAAATCCAAGTTATAATTCTAGCACAAAATTTTATATTCGTCTGCAACCAACCAGAGAACAGAGTACCGCCCCCTTTTATGCCGTATGCAAATGAGGTTCACCGCAGTTTCGTTATAGGTATATTATGTTCTATTATGCAAAGTCCCAAATACATTTGTCTATAATGGAGAGTCGTAATTTGCTAAATAACTATTGTGGCCTTGGTATTGTGGAGCAATAGAAATTGTAAAACTGAAATAAATATTTTTTAATGCTGACATATGTATTTTGGACCGTGAGCACTGAAATAATAATAGCAACGTTATTCTCCTATAATTTCCTTCATAATATTCATTGGAAGCTACGGTATCCGAGTGACCGTGACCTAAAATATCACTAAATCGGCCACAAACGTACAACCGTTGTCCGACAATTGCTTCCTTAAATGTCTGCAAATAAACATGCCCAACAGTTTTAATCGAAACGATTGTGAACCCTGTGTTAACAAGGGAAATAGTTGTTTTTTTTAATATACAAATTAATAGTTGTCTTTATTGTTAAGCTGACAAATCACTCAAAATTTCTAAAAATAAATGACATCTCTAGAATGTGCACCAAGTTTCCGAAATCAACAGTACATAATTGTGGCCCAAAGTGTGAATAACCCACTTCGAGCTGCACTTTGTTCTGATACATCGGGAAGTAGCTAAAGCTCCACTTTCACCGAAGGTGATATCGCAGACTAGTTGTCTTTTTTTTTTCATTTTCATTATCACCTTAGCACACGTGAAGAGATCTTTCCTGTGGGAGGAAACGGAGTACCCGGAATAAACCGAAGGTGATATCGCAAGTGTCTTTGTTTTCATTGTCATTATCTTAGCACACGTGCAAGGGTCTTTCCTTTGAAAGGAAACCGGAGTACCCGGAGTAAGCCCAAGGAGTTGAGAAGGCGCCCCTATCTCCAAGCCACATACGCTCACACCGGGAATCAAAACCACAGCTAGAAGTCGAAGCGCGACCCTAGACACCTAGGCCATCTCAAACCCCTTGTTCTTGGTGTTTAACGTCCGCTTCCACCGACGGTTATATCACAGGCAAGTCTTAGTTTTCATTTTTATTATCCCAGCGCACGCGCAGGGGGTCTTTCCTGTGCGGAGTACCCGGAGTAAACCCACGAGGTTGAGAAGGCGCCACTATCTCTAAGCCACATACGCTCACACCAGGGACCCAGGGATCGAAATCACAACCGCATGCCAGAAATTACCGGCTAGCTAGAGGTCGAAGCGAGGCACTGCAGACAACCAGGCCACCCACCCTGCCGGCTAAAGCTTTGATTAAAGTCCAAATATATAGTTGTGAAATGAAATAAAATTGGGTTTAACGTCCTACTGTTCTGTTCCAACCGGGATAAAGAATACGGTTTTAGGGATTGAGCAAGCATTACATAATTATACTTTCTTTCCAAAGATGTGCAGAAGAAAAGTAGAACGTTTCATTTTCTTTCGAAATTGCATCATCGCAATCAAACTGCATTGAGACATTTGAACATCATTTACACATGAAAGCAATTAATACCACACCCTTTTTTATAATTTTATGCAAAGAAGTTTCCGTGGCTGTTTTCATAAAACGAGGTATAAAAATAAATATAGGCTTGTCAATTACTAAATGCCATTCAAACGACATTAAATGGGACAGCTACGAAAACAGGAATGCATTGGTATTCATAAATGCGGGGAAGAGTCGGTTAACTCTTTAGTACCAATTGAGAATGCAGACAATACATAAATCTAATCATCTCAATTATCATTTGTTTCACTTGATCATTGTCAAACCTTTAACAGAATCCTCACTGTGTTTAAAATACACGAACATAGATTTTAAAAGGTTTCTGAAACCACAGTATGCGTTAAAAATGAATAGATTTCTCTTGCACTATAGTGGTTTGTGTAAATGAAATTCACTCTCGTCTTGATGCTAAACACTTTTCACGTAATTGTCGCATCATTTTTGCTTATCCAATTTTTTATTGTATGTGTACCTTTTTTGGATAAAATAAAACATGTTACCCATTTCACAGTATAAGAAGTACAACTGTCTTGGGACCCATTTCACAGTATAAGAAGTACAACTGTCTTGGGACCCATTTCACAGTATAAGAAGTACAACTGTCTTGGGTAGTAAGAAGGACGATCAATCAACTGATTATTTAATCAGTAATTGGTATGTCCTAATAGTACCAAGACCGAGTTATTTCTAATTTTACTAGCCAATCACTGAATTAAAGTTTAACATTATTTACTAGTTCATCATTGTTTATTTTAAAAAGTACTGTTTGGTGGGATGAATACACACTTTAAGTCGCACTTAGCGTAACTGTCCACCGCAACATAAAACAGACAGTAAATAAGCACTCCACAGTGTACCGGTCGTGGCTTTTTCATATGACAGTAATCAGGCAAGGACTGATTTTAAAGGCTCAATACCACTCTTGTTGTAACTGAATAATATGTCCCAATCTTTATTCTGGTCAACAAATTGTACTATTTTAGAATATTTCAATTAATTGATGATACAAATTTCATCTTAACACAGCTTATTTAAAAAATTTGAAAAATTCAACATAATGGTTTGAAACGTCTAACGTAAACCTTTTCAAATGAAACTTCGATTTAAAAATATTTTCGAACCCTCTGGACAAGTAAAATAGGATTTAATGGATAATTTACACAACAGGTAAGACACTAACACATCTAGTACTTAGAATAAGGTCATTTTTTTCTGGAGCTTTCAAGCCAGCAAGAGTGTTATTGTCCCTTTAACAAACTACAGGACAGTAAAACTCCACCGTTATTTGGCAACTTACCAAGTTTTATTAAAATCGGACGAAAATTATTATTCTTGAGTGGCATTTAGCACAATAAAAAAAATACAACAGCAACTATCTGGATTCACCAACAGGGTGAATTAAATAAATATCGCCCACATTAGATATATTATTTAGACATTGGTTTGAACTGAAAATAAATGTTATGAACTCGCAGTAAGAGACTATTTATTTTGAGTTTTAGCGGACACCATTCTTGTTTGGTGAAAATACTGTACATTATAGGTCTGTATTTTGGTGATCTTATCACTGGCTGAACTGTCCTCAACATGGAAAAGAACTTTTCTTTGTCAATAGTGCCCAAAGTATTGCAAAATGTGACCGACAAACCCAGGGAATGAGCAACTTCAAACTTCTCATTCTGGTTATTGACCATCATGGTTCCCCCACCAAGCATGGTCGCGAGCTTGTAAACAATGGTCAGCTTCCATAAATTCTTTTAATTTATTTGGTGCAGATTATGGTATTTGTATACTGTTGTGGGGGGTGGAGTATGTGATGTAGGCCGGTAAAAATGAAAAAGTAACCTTTAAATTTACAAAAAATATTCATCTCACAAAGCAGATGGATATATCGGCTGATGCACGTGACCCTATATCAGGAAATCTTGACAGTCACTTCTTATATTTACAGCATAGATAATGTAAATAAATCTTTATAAAATACATCTTTTCCAAACGTAGTTAGAAATATCGGCAATCTAGAAATTGTATGTCGCTTAAGATATATGGGCCTATACACACGTTTTATACGCCCGCGTGTAATAGGATTGCTGAATGGGATATACGGGGCAACTCTAAGAAGAAACTTTTGGATTATAAATTTCTTTCCGTTCTCATTTTACTTATCATATCAAGAAATGGTAATTTGTAAGCGCGAGTTTAAGAAATTGGGTAAGATGTTCAAACTTTCTTCGCGGCAGGTTATGGGTGATGAAAAATCGGACACTCCCAAATGCATAATCCAAGATGAGCTCTAGCCTTTTATGTAAAATCCGGTAATCGATTTTGGAGTACGTCGTCGTTAGTAATAATTTGTAATTCCATGAGAAGGCTGATATCTGTGGTGGATTGCCCATTATGCATTATAATCAGGGTTTACTTTGTTTGATCTGAAACAATGTCACAATTAACTACCTAGATTTAGAAATTGATTATGACGTCACATCATCTAACGTGTTCCATTGGCTTGTTCTGAACTGTATTGATTGGCTTTTAACAAGGATACACGAAACATAGCCAGTATTCTCTGAGCTGGTGCTAACACACGTTGGCAGTTTATCACGTGAAAACAAATAGCCGGACGTGAGAGACTAAGTAACAGCTTTTACTTCAACTTGACTTGATCTAGCTTCTTACTAAAAGGTAAGTTGTTTAACAATATAATTATATGCTAGCTTGAAATAATGTTAAACTAACAATTGAAATGTTGGTTTAAAGTTGTGTTGAAAAGTTTAAACAGACGATTTAAACATATTTCAAGTTCTGTGATTACTAAAAGTTTCCCAGATTATTTTTATTAGGACAGTATAAATGATCAGTCGGTCCCCAAATCGGCATGTCTAGCAAGTGGAAACTAATATCTCTGATAACAAAAAGAACATGCATACCTTAATAGTTAACTATTATAAAATCTGTATTAATATTTTGACGGCAGTTTTCTGCAATCGAGATTTAATTTAAAAAATAAATATTTACAGCATACTTAGTTATGTTTCTTTAGTAATGTTCTATTTGATCTTCCGTAATGGTGTAATTCAATTATAAAATAAAAAAGAATAGAATGGCAAAGATTTCTAAAGCGAAAACAAGAAAGGCAATTACATATTTCTTGTAAATTGTTATTTATTTTATATTCGTGTAATGAGAAGTATATTATGAGCTGTTTTCTAGAAAAAAATATAGATACATGTTTTACAAAGTTAAAAGGCGCGACAAAACCGGTCAATATATATATATATATATAAAAAAGAACATATTTATGTAGCCTTTTACTTAAAAGACTATTATTCTCATCTAATGAGGCACATGAGATCCAAATAAATAAATAAATAATGTAAACTCGTATGCTTTTTGGATAGGGGTGATTGGATTTCAGATGGGGTATATTTCATTCGGGTATGTTATCCCTTTCATATAAGCGTATGTCCTGTTTATAGGTAAATGATAACGGAGATACCTACAAATATAGCTTAATGACAAACTGACAACAGTGGGAATAACCCACGCTTCTAAATATCACCAGAATGTCGAGTTATTATCAGGTGCAACAGTAATTATTGTCTCCGTAGATTGTGTATCATTCCAGTGAGATTTTCAAACTTTAACTACCGGTACGCGTGGTGCAATTTCCACAAAATGAAAAAAATACTAGATTCTAAAGACTGAAAACTTTATTTCTCTTAAACTTCTAGCCAAAAGTCATGTTTTTAAGAATTTAGTTAAATCACATTAAATTTTCAGTAATTGCTTTTTTTATGGTTAAATTCATTTTACATGGTGGGCCGAACTGATGAAATAGTGACAAAAGAGAAATGGCAGAATACTCGATGGACGAATTTTAAGCTATCATTTTGCATGGGAAGCCTTTGTCAATCCTATGTTAGATGTTTACAAGAAAATCACAAGACATTTCCTTTGGCGTTGAGTAGTCTGGCATGTTTTCCAGCAATATGTGTTTTATTAATTATATGCATCTGTAAATCTTATCTTATTATATGTAACATGTACTTCACGCGATGGGGACATGTCTTCATACTTACGCCGTAATGTAAAGTTTTTTTGGGGCCATTTTTTTCTGTATTAAATCAGATAAATAAAGAGAATATACTCTTTTTGCCTGCCGTTTCCATGGAATAAATAGTACGTGTATATCGATTTCTTAGTGTAGTGGTATTTACTGTAGCACTGCTTAAAGGACAAACTAGACATTCAAGCTTTTCATTATTTATTCGCGATTATACCTTGCTGTACATTAAACCATAAATTTAAACGTTTTCTGTTTATATCTTTAACATCCAATTATCTTTATTAACCGTCGGCTACACAACTGCGACGAGTAGAAATTTATTTCCTCTCGAAATTAGTATTTCCCCTATGATTGAATTAACAATACTTATCAAATCAATGACAGTCGTAACAGGAGCAGGATTAAATCTGAACTTTAGGGGAATGAGTGAAGAGATCAAGATAAAATATTTTATGTTAGATTTAAATATTTAAAATATTGAATTAATCTGTCGTAATATCCCTAGAGGTTTTGAAAGCTGATACATAATACTATATGCAGTCATCTGAAACTTATTCCCGGTTTACTCCTGCATACGAGGTGCCAAGTTATTCGAGACCTTAATAGCAAGTGCAGAGGGACTGCACCGCACACAATTACAGAAGACAGATCTATGGACAAGACACAATATACAGAAATCACCAACAACAAACGTACACATCAGATCAAGTGAATGGATCCGGTGCCGTGTTGTAAGCGCCCACTGCGCTGTACATTCCCGGGCCTGTAGTGATACAGACTTTACTCAAAATGAAAAACAAACTAACAGTAAATGGTATATTTTCCAAACATTGTATAGTACCAGTGTGAGACATGATCGGCTATGTGCTACATAAAATATAAATGTAGACACATTGAAGGAAAATGCCTTTACAAGTAAACCTTTTGCTTAGTAAAGAGCCAATTAACAACTAAATGGCCTATGTATTCGGTATACCTGTATAGAGGGGTAACAAGTGAACAAGCCTTGTATTGGAAGTAAATCGGCACGAACAAACTGCCAAGTTGTTAATAAAATTTGCACCTAAAGCGACATACATGTAGCTCGGCCATCCAACTTAAAGGAGAATGCTACCGCAAAAAGTTGTTTTAATATGAAAAAAACGTTAATATTAGACTATTTTTTGGCCCTGCGAAATTCTTAAAGTCATTCTGAATATTTTTAGAAAGGAAAAATCTCCCCCCCCCCCAAAAAAAAACAACAAAAAACCCCAAACAAACCCCGAATTGACATTTATACATATCTGCAGCCTCGTTTTGATTTTTTCCGTGAGTGATGTCGCGGATTTCCCTATAGAAGGCAATTGCAACTGAGCACTGTATCCCGTCATTTTGACTATCTGGAATTATAAACATGGTCAATTGCGTTGCTTGGTGATGTACTAATAGCACCAACAATAAATCAGGAAGCGCGTGTCATTTTTTAAAATTTCCAAGCGAGACAACAGGCAGAAAGGTCTAACAAAGCGATGTCAACGAGTTGGGAAGAAATGGTCTCCATCAAAACACGCTTCTCTTTATTCGAAGCATTTCGAGTTATCTGCTTACGAACGTTGTCCTGCTCGAATTAACCAATTGGGATATGAAAACCCAAGAGCAAAACTCAAGCCAAATGCCGTGCCCACATTGTTCCCGAGGGAAAACGTTGGTTAATTTTGACAGTGCAACTGCGACTTGAGGGGCTTACAGGAGGTGACGTGCAACCGAAGTAAGTACTAGGCTACTAATAGTCAGCCCTAGCTTAAGTACTAAAGTCCACTGACCAGTGAAATTTTAATAATATTTTTATATCGATCAAGATATAGCAGTTATGTTATATTTCTATGTTACAACTGTGCATAGTTCTATGGTGAAACCAACACGCTTTCAACATCTAGCAATAGAAATGACCGATGTAACCATAGCAACGAAATGTAAACAACACAGCTAGGAAACCTAAATACTAATCATGTAAATTAATATCCCCTTTTCGAAGCGTCTTGAGGGTGGACGAATGGTTAGCGTGCGCTGTATCATAAGGTCTGTCATTGAGTCAACTGGCGTGGTTTCGATTCCCCGGTTGTACGTGGCAGGGAGTAGGCTAGCCTGTCCAACCTCGTGGGTTTTCTCTGGGTCCTCCCCCTCCCACTAGTAAAGACCCCTACACGCAAGCGAATTATTGTTTAAAACTGAAACAAATGTTAGTCACGAAATGACCTAGTTTGTGTTGAGTGTACGTTAAAGTGTCTTCCGCGTCAGTAGTAGGTGTTGGCACATGTCAATGATTTTGCAGTCGATCATAGATAGTCCTAGATTTAGGAAGTCCGTTAGATTTAACTAGGTAAATGAGTCATTGAGTGTGATAGAAATTTGTATCAGCGATAGGCCTATACCATACGTGACCATCGTTTTTCAAATGTTGCACAAAGAATGTAGGCTAGGGCATAAAATACCGTTTTACCCTATGACCAGGGTAAACGTATTGGAATTAATAGTTTTTCTCTGATATATTTTCGCCAATGAAGCGAAAAGTTATCGAGAATCGAAGGACTGTGAATAAGACAAGGTACTCTGCTGACCTAATCCGGACACAGCCTGCAGCGATTGTTCTACTTGGCTAGAAATGGTAGATTGTTCCGAACCATCATCATCGCCGCTGTTGGTTCTAAGAAAATTAGGGGCGAACTCAATGTCTGACAAGCGGTCACTTTCTGCCGATGCCATATTGAAATACATCGACTGCTACACGAGCACGAGTGTCGCTTCTTACGTCATGTCACGTGATGTAGCTTCAGTCCATTAATTGTCCGGTGTTTCCGAATTCCGTAAGTGTTTTTTAACGTTATTTGTTCCGAGAACTGAAATGCGTTACACAATGAACTAAGTAAATGATAAAATTAAACTTCTACTATAGTTTTCTCCTTTAATCATATTGGAAACGACTCCTATATTAGATAAACCGTAAGCTTAGAAAAGGGCTTTTAAGGAAGAACATAACCAAGATTTCGTTTAAAATAAAATTAAATTAGATCTGTCAATCGCACTGAAATCCTCTCTGGTAGCACATGCCTAAAAAGAGCGGTGAATGACAAATAGTAAAAGTCACACGATATTTCAAATGGATTACGCTTTGGGAATGAACGAGATTAAATGACTTCAAAAGAATGAAGTGAAGTTTTCTCAATTCAGTCACTAATTTCTTTATGGCAACCATATATCATTTGAGCTATGGGTATATGTAATATTATGCAATCCACTGTTGCTAGGGCTATTAACTGCGTTATGGTATTTAATCTAGTGATGATCAAAAGATATTTACAGTTTGAAAGATCTGGGTGTAAAATGACCTGAAAGGCCTTAACTCTTTTATCCAGTGCTTCCTGATGAAAATAACCCGGACACGTCATTGGTCTATATCCTTGGGTCACGACTAACCAGGAGGTGGCTGCAAGGATATTTTTGACTCCCACAATGTCCATCACATAATTTCTACCCGTCACCCGGTTATAACAAACACTTGGTTATTAGGAAACACGCGAATGCTCATTAGTCCGCGGGTGCACTAGTCCGCCGGAATCTATTATTGTCATTTTTATGA